GGCCACCGGGCAGGGCTCAACTCAGGTGGGCTAGGGTTTTCGATGGGTCGTATGGGTATCCTTGATGAGTTGTCCAGGTTTTGGGCCCAATTTTGTGGGCTTGCTAATTTATGCTTATTTGACCAAAACCCAATTGTTTTTATGCATGTTTTTTTGTTTGGATTTGGTACCGGCCCAATGACCCGTGGTTATGTTTATTTTATTTTTGAAAATTAAAATGTAATAATTATTTGGGTTATGTTTTTATTCGATTTGCATTTTTTTTCTTCTAAAATGTAATGTAATAGATTGGTTAGATGATTTAGCTTATAATAGAATTAGTCATTTAAAATTTTATGTAACCAAGATATCGAAGGAATCAAGACGATATCCCAGAGTCCACCTCGGTTGGTGGAACTACCGGGAGTCGAAGATGTCCTTAGTGCTTTACCGTAGTTTGCATGTGGGCTCCCAGAAACCGCACTAGTGGTCCGTACCAAATCCCGGTTGCTTTTTTGTTTTGATTTATTTTTCGTTTTATTGTTGCTTGATAATTATATTGTGTTAGCCTACACAATTAAACAGTATAATATACAAGACTCGATATCTTTTTGTACAGTACCAAACATGGGTTTATAAGAATTCAAAAATGTCTAAACATCTTAATTGATTTTTTTCATAGAACTTAAGTTTATAAGCCAAATAATTCTTCATACTATCTAAAAGCATTGCACTAAGTGGTTTATATGATGTTTTTGGTCGTTTTAACAACTTTTTAGGACACTTTGAAAAAATTGGCATATTAACTTTTTTATACGACAAATCACAAAAGTGTCATTGAAGACATTTTTTATAGACCTTTTATTATTATAAATCATTTTTTCAAATAATGTTATAAAAAATTAATTGGACGGTTTAAATTCAAAAGTGTTCTAACATTTTTTAAGACGTACAAAAGTGTCTTATAAACTTATTGTAATGCTTTTACATATGGTGCATAATTGTTTGGTTTTATAAACTTAAGTTATATTATAAAACAGTCTATTAAGACATCTATATATTTTCAACTTTCTATAAAATCAATTTCATTAGTTATAAAATTGTAACACCCTCCGGCTCAAAATAAATGTTGACAATTGAAATGACATATAGTTTAGACATGCATAATTATTACACTTTATGATTAACTAAATGACATCTTTATTTTTATTTAATTTCTTTCTCTTCACAATTCTAAAATGTTTATGCATTAATTAAGGATAAATTTGAGAATTTGGTTATTTATTTTTGAAAATGGACACTTATTTTTTTTTTATTAACCTGGATATCCAACCCGCTATGCGTGCCGACTAATCTCAGAATGACCACCTGCTTTGCAGATAGCCTAGAGTCACTGAATTTGAACCTTCGTGACCACAAGTAGATTTAATAAAAACAAACTAAAATAAAAATATGGACACTTATTTTAAAACTGATGGAATATACATTTAATGGGTACTGTATTAAAAGATTCAAATATTGAAACTTCCATAAAAATTATTTCAATATTTATGGTGAAAATCTTTAGCTTTGACAATATCAAGCTCTAGTCAAAGGAGATATAAGCAAAAGTCCTTGCATCCTTTGACCATTAGTAGTAACTTTAGGTTTGGTGTTGGTTATACCATCTCCGGTCATAATCTGAACAACCAGATTGTAAACGAGACTAAAAGAGTTTTAGGAAAAAAGAAAAACATAACCAATCTTTATCAATCATTCTCATTCAACAATTCAGGATTGCACCATTTTCTACTAAATAAAATTGACATGTGGCATTTGTTTATTGGTTGGTTTAATTTCTTTTAAAGTTAAAACTTATCTAATTAAAAAGTGAATTTAACAAAAAAAAATATATACTAAAATTCATAGTTTTCAATTTCCTATAGATAGAGTACACTATTGATATATTTTCATACTTACTTTTGTAACTTGTCTTATTTAATTTCAATTGTATGATAAATTTTTTATAGTTATAGTTACGTTTAAAAATATGCAATAATCCGTTTAATTTATTTTTTATATTTAAAATTGAAAAATAATAATTATATATGATAAAAATAAAATATATAATTTTTACAAAATTATATTTTAGATTGGATTGGATTATGGTTAAATAAAAAAAATAAATGAGGTTGTGTTGGAGTTGAAAATTGTATAGGTGGATGAAAGAGAAAGTAATATTTTAATTGACATTAAGTTGAAAGAAATTGTGAGTAAACATAATCTTAAAAGGTATATCAATTATATAAAAAAATAAAAAAATATTGACGGGTTAATCTGACTCGTAAGAAAAGTAACTCAATTCTCTTGGTAGAACTCATTTTGATCCATCATTCGACTCACCCATTTTCTAATCGCTATTGTAATTTGCGAATCAAGTAATTTGTAGTGTGTAATACTCGGTAAGTACATGTCGGGTAATTTTTCTCATTGAATGAACATGGCAAGGACCAAGAAATTTACCCGGTAAGAACAATGATAAAGATGAAGAGTCTTACCCGGTAAGTGAGGGTGACGACTCTTACCCAAGTAAGCACTTACCAGGTAAATTGTTGTATAAGATACGTTTTGATGTACTACAATCTTACCCATTAAAATAAATTATAGCCTTGACTCCTAAGTTAAGCACTTACCATGTAAGCATTTAGGTAAACGGCCTTTAAGATTCACACAAACACTCAATATTATGACCCTGAATTGTAACTCAACTGTGAAAACTTTTGTTTGATACCTAGAAGTCATCGGTTCAAGTCCGGTTTGGGTCATTGAAAAGCTTGTCTAATTGTTAAATTTAAAACCCAATAAAATTAAACAAGAACACACAAACTGATTTAACCAACCATAATATGTTATATATTAAATCTCTTAAATTAATTATATTCTCTAAATTAATTGGTTAAATATATTGATCCCATAATTATCTATATTTTTAATGTCGCAATAATTCATGTACACCCAAATATGGTTTGGAATACCATTAATTACAAGAGTCAAAATATTTGACCTTTCGCTACCGAAACTTCATCGACCGATCACAAGGTCAGATTCGTAATTTTAGTCAACCCAGATATCAATAAAGGGTCCAGCCTTTGACTTGGCACAAAAAAGAAAGCGAATTGATTGTAAAGTAAATTACCTAACTAACCTTTAACCAATCCTGTGCAAAGAGTTTCAAGAACCGGTCAAACATATATAATATATTTGGAGAGAAAGCATAAAAATATATAAAACAAACAATAAACAGTCAAATCATATCTAATTTTATATGTAATTTTATATGTATTTTTATATATGATAACATAATATGGTCAATGCAATTGTAAGTCCAAGATCTCAAAATTGTGGGAATCGTGTATATGATTTTACATGTGATTTTAGTGTAAAATCATATCTAATTTAGTTATTTTCGTATTCTTTTATATGATGCGTTAGTATTAGTTTTTTTTAATGATACTTCTAAAACAAAATTTTGTATTAGTTTTTTAAACATATAATTTTATTAGACATTGTTTGTGTAATATAACTTCTTTTTTAAATAATGCTATATAAAAAACTGATATAACATTTTATTTCAAAATTGTCATAAAAAACACGTTAATTAAGTTGTCAATAAATATATATACTACCTTATAAACCAGATTTATCAAAAGTCTTAAAAACAAATTTTAATGTACAAAGTACTATATATTTATGCACAAAGTTTTAAAAACAATTCATAATACATTAAATAATACTACTTTATGCGTTCAATTTTAAAATCTTTTAATCTACAATTAAAATAACATATGATACCAGTTACCAATGCACATTATTACTTTTTCTTTTCATGTTCCCAAGATACTTTTAACATCTTTCACTCATGTCTTCACCCTCTCATACCTCTTTGTCTTCTCCCCATCCCCCAAGGTGATATTCAAATTGATATTCACCATAAGTTATTAAAAGTTCTCTTATTTATCTCCTATTCAATTGCTCTAGAACTCTCGGTCTCACTCTCGCTCTCTTGATTCTTTGCTCTTGGTGTAAATCGAACACATTTGTAGAGTCGTTTAAATATGTTGGATTTTAAATATATTAGATTTTAAATTGTCATACGATTTTTTCATCGATAAATTGTAATTGGAACCATAACTCTTATTTATTCAAATTGTATTAGTATGTAAAGACCAATTGTGACTTATATCATCGTTATAAATTTTTTCTCTAATAAAATCAGTGAAACTTCAAAATCATTAAAATTCACGACTTCCGCCGCATTGCGCGGATACACAACTAGTTCTATATAGTTGTAATACTTTTAAATATGATGTTGGTCATACAGTTATACATATCATGACGTGGGTTGGATTTCTGTGAAAATGAGAGTTAAAGTGAGGAGCGTAAGAATGAATTTCTACCTTTTGATGCACATTAGAATGAGATGCACCGAGATGTATCAGATCAGTCCCTGTATCAAACACGATTCATAGATGAGTTTGAAATTAAATATAATTAAGGGTCCAGATCTCTTCTTATATTTCTCAACTTAAATCCCCTTATCACACGATTATCCATCATACTATAAACATGATTTTATTAATTATTATAATATGTTAAAAAAGATAACCTCCATAACCTTTTCAATCGCGAGGACCAAATCTTATTCCTTCACAACAATCTATTACATGCTTTTATTTGTCATTCAAGCACAAAAGAAATACTTTTTTTTCTTTTTCCCTAAACTTTGACCATTTCAGATCTTGAATTCACACACAATATATATATATATATATATATATATATATATATATATATATATATTGCAAATTCTTGTTCAACTTGTTTTTCTTTACCCTCAATCAAACCATCTTATCAAAGACCCCATCACTTGTAGGATATCAAGTCTAACATTTCAAGAAACCCTTGTCTTTGATCTATTTTATATATATATACACACATACACACACATATACATATATATGGACCCTAGTCACCTTCCTCATATGAGTGAAGGTGGTGGTGGTGATAGGTTTCCGCAATGGAGTATACAAGAAACGAGAGATTTGTTAATGATAAGAGGGGAACTGGATTCGACGTTCATGGAGACCAAGCGCAACAAGCCTCTCTGGGAAGTTGTCTCTGCAAAGATGAAAGAGAGGGGTTATAATCGCAGTGTTGAACAGTGCAAAAGCAAGTGGAAGAACATCCTTACTCGTTATAAGGTCTGTCTTGTTTCTATAAGTTTTTCTTTTTGCATATATATATATATATATATAAAGGTTGAGAATATGCCAATGAAAAACAAGTATTTGAATCATTGGTAAATTCAATAAGTTCAATTTTTAAGATGCAGTATCCACGTTTATCTACCTACTTTTGAACTTATTATTTGCATATGAACATTTTCTTTGCCGATCATTTACATGTAAACTTTTTATTCGCACTTTTTTGCTCTTTTCATTTAAATTTTCATACATACATATGTCTATACACACACACACCCATATAGTTAGGTTAAAACGAAAATAGTGATCAAATAAAAGAACGAGGATGGCCAAATCACATGTGATCTTACACTAGAATTTTGTGTAAAAATATGTGTGATTCACGCAACTTTGACCTAAGGTCGCCGGCAAAGTCACCCGCTCAGATCTTCCGTCGACCGTGTTCCATAGTCACATGTGATTTTAGTACAAGATCACATGTGATTTGACATTTTTCATATTTTCTTATTCTAACCATGTTCTTGTTTGAACTCTCTCTCTCTCTCTCTCTATATATATATATATATATATATATACACACACACACACACACGGTGATGTAGACTTGGAGTTATTTTTTGATTGGCAAAGGAGTTCTTTTAGAAGAAAAACAAGATCAACATTTGTATGCAGAGTAAGAATGTTTTCATTGTTGTCAAACGGATGGTGTTTTCTATGTACGAATATGGTTTTATTTCTATACATAATCGAAGAAAAGTAATATGGTTTTTTGTTCGGAAACTAGGGATATGAGACGATTGAAGAAGAAGGTATGAGGCAACAGTTCCCATTCTACAAAGAGTTGCAAGCCATTTTCACAAACCGAATGCAAAGAATATTGTGGATGGAAGCAGAAGGCATACCAAGTGAATCAAATAAAAGAGGGATGTGGTTTCTATCAGACGAAGAGGATGAAAATGAAGATAGGTTGGTAGAGAAGGCAAATTACAGTGGCAAGAAGAAACAAAAGGCCATAGAGAGCAGTACGAGTAGCAGAGGCAATTCAGACAATACCAACAATGGTACTATTAATAACTTAAAGGAGGTATTAGAAGAGTATATGAAACGACAAATGGATATAGAAATGCAATGGATGAAGAGGTATGATGCAAAAGAGGAGGAGAGGAGGATGAAGGAGATGGAATGGAGGCAAACAATGGAAACATTAGAGAAGGAGAGAATAATGCTCGATAAACAATGGAGAGAAAGAGAAGAGCAGAGAAGAAAGCGAGAGGAAGCTAGAATCGAAAAACGTGATTCACTTATTACGACACTTTTAGAGAAGCTGAGATCTCAAGGTTTATAGTTTCATGATCATCTAAGACTTGTTCAAAATATTCACCAAAAGAGATGAATTTTTTAACACAAGTCATAACTTTACAATGTATATATATATATACAAAGAGTAAGTTTTAAATTGAAAACCATGTAATTCATACTAATCTTACAAATTAATCGCTTGAGATATTAATACAAATAATGAGAGTTTTTTTTTTTTTTTTTTTATAATTATG